ACAGAGTGTGTGCAAATACCACGCGGATTTTAGATAGGAGATCCAGCGTCTGCCGATTTGGATATCCCAGAAGGGCCTTGGAGCTAGTGCCTGAGAAATGCCAAAAGATGCCAGGACTGTTCTTTTCCTTGTAGATACCCCTAAGTGGGCATGCTCAAGAGATGGCTACGTTTCTGGTTCTGAAGACTAGGGTAGGCCTGAGATGGGTTGAGGCTGCCCACAGGGCTGGTAGTGAAAAAAACGGCTTAATGATCGAAGGGCATGACGGGTGTTTGGGAGATGATGAGGGAAGCCCATCAAAGAGACCAGGAGGGCTGGGTGTCCGGGGAAAGACCAACAGGAGATTATACTCTAGAAACAGAGTTGGGGAGTAACAAAACTCCTGTCGTAGTCTTACCCTTTCTAAAGTGTGAAGCTTGGCTTCAAGCACTGTGCTGCGTGCTGACATATTCAGCCATTGAGTTCTCAGAAGCAGCCTTGAGATACCGGAACCACCATTATTTAGTTTTTCATCGGCAGTTTTGAGAAGGCTAAGCCAGCAACACCCGGCTCTCGGAACCTCTGTGACGATTGTAGGGACTGCTGCCTACAGGCCGGCTGAGCTTTGAAAACGTGTCCCTGAAAGTTTAGGGTAGAGGTGGAGGAGGGAGTTAGCTAGACCAAACCTAGCCCATGAGCCAAGAATAGGCTTCACGTTTTCATTGTGCGGCTGAAACTGCCAAAGGGAAATGTGTGACAGAATCTGTGGGTGGCCTGCAAAGCTGAAAATACTTGTTGTCCAGGTTTTTGTAGAACCTACGGGATAATTCCTGTATCGGGGCATGTCTGCTAAGCATGTATGGAGCTTGAAGACACACTATTTAAGAGTTTTGAAGATAGTAACAAAAGCTGATAATCTTAGCACCTAATATTCTAATTGTATCTTTTGTTTAACTATAAAAATCATTCAAAGTGACTAATATGATTATTTTATTCAACTTCCTACATTTTCTGTGCTGGAGAGTTAGCTAATAAAATGACGCCGATTTCTCGGTAGCTGTGCTGGTGACTCGCTAAGTCTCTTCTTACTCCCTTGGGTGGCCAAGAATGGGAAAAGACATTTGTCTTTCAAGATCACCTGTAGGAAGCCTGCCTCCTTTTTGACTGAGGTTGCTGTTAATACCTTTTCTCCTCCCTCTAAATGCCTGGGGTCTCCCTGCTTTGTTTCTAGACTGTCACTCTGTGTTGCCCAAGTGCCTTGGTGTGGAATTACTCCACAAGTGAAAACAAGATTGCAAACCCGGGCTCTCCCCTGGACGTGCTGCAGGTGGCTCCTTCCAGTCTCCCCATGCCGGGTGGGAACACGGCTTTCAATCAGCAGGTAGACATTTGCTTCCTTGCTTTTATGAGCCTTTTCGTTTCCTAGAAGCCCCTGGGCATGGCACCCGGGATGCCGTAACGCCTGCCCCAGCTGTGCCGTGACTCTAGGTGAATTCTTTGGGCTCCCCCCCCCCACTTTTTTCTGAAACCTGGATGTTCATAGAGTTGCTGTGCCACCCTGCAGCTTTGGTGATGACTCCGGCCCTGCGTGTGAGCCCCGGAGTGATACCTTGCGATATCTGGCGATTGTTGTTGTGTGTTTTCATCCGTGCTGCACTCTTTGCTTCAAAGACTTACCCGGCTTCAGCTTGGGGGTTGCGATTGATCCTTAGCGCAAGGCACCGCTCGCTCATTCCCTGCTTAGACCAGCGGCTCAAAGACACTCCGACTCTGCCTCGCCTTGCACACCGGAAAGAAATGTCATTTGCCACCCCTCCCTTGCATTTGTCCACGTTAGCCCTTGTTTTTTGAATGAGGTCATCCCTTGTAAAGTTAAAAAAAATGCAGGGCTCACGCAGGAGTTTACGTTTCCTGTGACACAGTGAAGGCTGCCACTCGTCAGCGGATCATCTCCTCACTCAGACAACCTGACGTGATGCAGGCGGCCATGGAGAGTTTCCAAGTACACGTTACCTTGCCGTGTTTGTCTTTCAGGTCCGGACAAGGATTTATGAAATAGAACAGCAAATAAAGCAACGAGGCCGTGCTGTAGAAGTTCGGTGGTCTTTCGACAAGTGTCAGGAGTCGACAGCAGGTACCACAGAGGAGGGATTGCTTCTGGAGCCTTCAGCCTTAGGCTGCCTCTCTTGTGCTTGTAAAGCACTTCACGTGGATGCGGGAGCTCTAAGCCTTTAGCTGCTGGGCTGTCCAGAATTCTAGTTTAGTTCTTGCAGCTCCTTGCCAGTATGTGCCGAGCGTTAAAAGCTCTTCCTGTTGTGTAGTGGTGTTGTTTTGCACTGTGATACTCTGGCTGGTTTAATTGCTTCCTTAATTTCTACATCCAGGGGTGACTATTAGTCGGGTTTTGCACACTCTGGAAGTCTTGGATCGTCATTGTTTTGACCGAACTGATTCCAGCAATTCGATGGAGACACTTTATCATAAAATTTTCTGGGCAAACCAAAACAAAGATAACCAAGAGGTAGCAAATTTACTTTTCTTCCTTTTGCCTTGTTTTCTTCTCATTCTATAAAGTCTGGTGAAGTCTTTGCTATGCTGTATGTCTTATGAAAGCATTTCTTTCTTTTTGGGGACCAAGATGACTGACCATTACTGTAATAAAATGTACATTGGGTTGGGTCTACCTTGATATATTGATGGGGAACTCTTTATTTACCTTTCATCATCTTCTCTACGTTTTAGTTTTGGTGCATTGCTTGTCTATTGATTTATATAGGTAAATATGGCTTTAGTTTGGGAAAACTGACTTTTGGTGTAATTTGATCTGTAGCACAGCAGAGGGCAGCACATGGCTATATATGGACAAGTTAAGACTGAAAAGTTTTAACAATTATAATTTTTATTTCTTCCTATCAAAAGATTGTTTTGTCAGTGAACTGCTGACAAAATATAAAAATTTTCAAAGACCCTTTCTTACTCAGTGTTCACAGAAATAAAGGCGTTATTTTTATAATGAAAGAAAAAATGCCCCCAGCATAAGCAGCTTGTGTTAGATGCAAGGTAATACTGAGGTAAGTATTAGCAAACTCTCAGAGCAAACACTATTTAGCTAACTTACTTTGTCTCTTTGGTTTTTAAGCTCGCCATTGGTCATGGATTAGCAGAAAGAAGAGATTAACCAATGGAAAAAAAATGCTTTCTTTGCCAGGCAGGACCTGACATGCATCCCAGAGTATTCCTCTGTTGGAATAATTTGTGAGCCATTATATTCTTTTCAGAAATGGGTTCTGGACTGTAGGAGCCACAAAGGGACAGGGTGTTGAAAAACCTGGTACACGTTGAGTAGCGTTTCTGTCTCCTACGGGTCTCTATGGAAATGAATTTCTGTCCTTGGGAGAGCAGACGAGTCCGCCTGACTCTCGGCTTGCTGAGGGGAGGTGTGGCGTTCTTGTCCCCTAAGACTGGGACTTTCCATCCATGTACTGGGTGACAGGCTTTAGGAAAACTGAGCTCTTCACATGTAGGTGTGAGTTGTCCGCAATGAGTGGTTTTTGTGCCAAGTGAACATTGCTCTGTGGGTTTTGGCCAAGTCCCTAAGCATGCTTCAGACTCATTGTACTGACTAAGAACTCTGCTTCAGGGTTGGAGAGACGGTTAAGAGGTCAGCTGCTCATTTACAGGGCCCAGGGTCACAGCACCCACAGGACTGCTCAGAGCCTTCAGTAACTCCAGTCCTAAGGGACCTCACAACCTCTTGGGACCTCCACAGGCGCCAGGGATGCATAAGAAACACAGACAAACATGCAGGCAAAATCTTACTCATACCCATATATTAAATAAATCTTCAAGAAAAAAAATTAAAGCCTTATTCCAGTGGTTCTCAACCTCCGTAATGCTGAGACCATATAATACAGTTCTTTGTGTTGTGATGACCCCAACCATAAAATTATTCTTGTTACTGCTTCATAACTGTAATTTTGATACTGTTATGAATCATAATGTAAATACCTAATATTGTAGGATATCTTACAAATGGCCCTCAAAGGAGTCACAACCCACAGGCTGCGATTACTCAAGGAAACTCAAATTACCCACAGACAATTGCAAGAGTTTGTGGGTACAGAGGCTGCCTTACCAAGGGTAGAAACTATGTTGTGATTGTAGCCAGGAATCTCTGAGAAGCCCTGTTACTTCACAGCAGGTACCGGAAAACGAGCCACTGCATTCAAGAACTCTGTCAGGTCAATTCAAAAAAAGCTTATTTTGTTTTTAAGTTAACGAAAATGATCATTGTGGTGGTGGAGTTAGTAATATTGAGAATTTCTAAGAAAAAAATTACCTATTTATCTGTATTAATCAGTTTTGTGTTGTGATAACATACCTTGACACAAAGCAAGTTAGGGAAGAGTTTATTTGGCTGACAGTGCCAGAGGGGTTGCTGCCATTTCTGATGGGCAGAAGACTTGGCAGCAGGAGGGGGAGGCTGGCCTGCCCGTCCAGAAGCAGGGTGATGGCATTTCATCTTCGCAGGAGGAGATGGGGCCCGGCGGTAGAACCCAGAGTGTCCTCAGTGGCATTTTCTCTAGCCAGGCCCCCGCGTCTTAAGGGTTCCGTCTTCCCAGCCACCACAGGTCTGAGACCAAGTGTTGGAATATGTGAGCCTGTAGGGGGCATTCGCACAGTCGGACCACAGCAGGACCTGGGTGACTGCCTTTGGTCTGAGAAGAAAGCAGTGTGACAATTTGAGCCTCCTGGTAAGCCACCCGTCCTCTGCTGTGCCTGTGGGCTAGTCCTGCCACTAGGGGGCAGTACGGGCCCTAGGCTGAGTCCTGGGTGTTGTAGCAATTCGGAGGGAATGCAAGGGCTGGCCTGCTTTAACAGTAATTATACCAAGTGCCGACTACATTCTGCAAAGAGATGGGAGTGACTTAGTATTTAGCACTAACACTTAAAAAAAAGTAAGGCTTCAGTGTTTGTTGTGTATGTATATTAAAGTAAGTATTTATGTGTACGCTTGCAGGTGCCGATTTTATTTCTCTGTTATGTTTTCCTGGGGGTGTTCCTGTCCCCTCTCTCCCCTTCCCTTATCTCCCTGCCTTTCCTTCCCCTTCTTACTCCTTCCCTTCCCTCCTCCCTTCCTCCCCCCTTCCTCTTTCTTTGTATTTTAAGGTAGGGTCCCACTCTGTGGCCCCGGCAGACCTTTGAACTCAAGCTGTACCTGCCATGCCTGTGTAGTGCCGAGAATGCAGGTGTGTACCACCGCGCCCGCCCGGGCCTGGGGTTTCTGTCGTCTTGACCACTGCATGGCTTGCCTTTCTGGAACTCACGAGTGAGTGCTGAGTGGCAGCTGTGTGGCCTAGAGACAGTTCCCACATAATCATATAGCACTTGACCGTGAATACTCTGAACTCATAAAACAGATTGTAAGTGCATTCCAGACATGTGCTGTTACCTGTCTCGTCCTGGAAGAACCACCACGATGTAGTGGTTCTCCGGTCAGGCAGAATGTATTAATAAGTGTTTGCCGAAGACTCAGAGACCCAGCTTCCTGCCTTTGGAACGTACTTCCCCTTTTCCTGGATTTCACAGTTCGGCGTAGCATGTTCGATGGCAGATAAAGTTACCAACCTCTAGTCACCGCGGTCTGCGGTTTGCTTTTTACCGGGATTGTTCCCCCGTACCATGTGGGGTGACTCCGGTCCCTCTGCTCTCTGCTGCTGGGGATGACCAAGGGGACGACCTAACCGTCTCCATCCTTGCAGGAGACCGTGCACCTGTGTAGATGGGAGTGCAGCGTCAGGTTCAGCATTAGTGACAGCCGACAGAGATTCTAGTGAGCCTTTGAGAGCAAGTGCTGCCTGTGGTGAGAGGAGCTGACACTGCCGGGGGTGGGGAGTGGGGTGGGGGGACACTCTCACTAATAGCTCATGGGGCGTGGCATTCTTTGTCTCTTTCTCCTGATGCCCTGTGATCTGCTGGGGTTATGTCCACTTGAGTGCCATGGGAAAGGTGGCAGAGAGTCACCCTGAAAACCCTTTATATGTCACCCCATACTGTGTCTCGGTATTTTTCCACCCTGTGTAGCATGCAGTAGAGGAGTTCCAGCTTTAATGCGGAGCTCAGAGACTGTTGGACGGTGGTCAGGCAGGCGGTGTAGACTGGCCTGTGCGAAGGGGACAGCGCCTCTCAGAGGCCGTCCGCAGGCTGGCCTGTGACCTGGGTACCCAGCGTTTCAGCAGAAACGGAGTGTCAGGGTTTGTAACCAAGCTCGCCGGGGCCAGGTAGCAGACCTGGGCTGGGCCTGCTTGAATGCAGCTTGCTCCCTCGCCGCTGGCTCGTTCACGCTCCTGTGGCCTTTGGTGCTTCCGCTTGGCCACTGCTTCAGAGCCCTTTCCACTGAGTGCTGAGATGGAGTGTCGGGGTCCAGGAGCCACATGAGGGGAGTCCCCATGGGCTGCGGGGGCCCCCAGCTCCCGGTTACCAGGTGCGTGGGTTACTGGTGACATCACGGCCCAGCAGCTGGGTGGGGAGGGCCCCTCACTTCTGCAGAGCTCTCGGACCACTTCCTTCCTGTTGGCCTCTGTCCTTGAGAGCAGGGGCAGCTGCATCTCTGGGTGCTTCAGGGATGCGGATAAAAGGGAAGGCCCGCAGGTGGCAGGGAAAGCTGCTTCTCACTTCTCTTTCCTGCATCCCAGGAGGCAGACTTGGTACTGAGTAGTAGGAAAAAAAACCAGGTCAGCTGCACCAGGCGGCAGCATCATGGGCGTTTCCTCCGTCCCTCCTGGTACCACCACCAACCCCAAACCACAACACCTCCAGGGTTCTTGTTTATGTTTGTCTTGTACCTGTGTGTGCTCAAAGTTTAGGGTTTTTAGTTGTCTCAAGTTTAGTGTGTACTTTACTTATCTTGAATGCACGAGGCTTAGGTACTCTGCCGGATCACTGTCATCAGAAATGCAAGAGCCTTGTTTCTCCCATGGCTGTGCCTGCTGCACACTTACCTTTTTAAGACCTGTTCTCGGTGATCCCGAGGTCTGTGTCTCGAGCCTTCCAGGACATCACGAGTCCCTGGCTTCATGCCTAGGTTCCAAGATGTGATCAGTGTATATTTGCCCACTTTGGGTTTTTGTGCTCATCAAAAGGCTGCTGGTACAGTAGTGGGGAGGAGGATACACCTTGAAGGAGAGGGGTGCTTAGATTAACAAATGTCCATCTGCTTTGCAGTTGGTATAGCATCAGACAGACGAGAAGGTATTTGCAAGTGGAGGCAGGGGGCATGGATGACGGGAATGCCCTCGGCTGTGTAATCAACAGGCTTTGCGGGTCCCCTTGACTAATGTGCTTACGTGTGTAAAGGGGCATTCATTTCTGGGTAATGTAGAATTGTGTGAAGCCATTATTAGTGTAGCATTAAGCATTTGTGTTGCCTGCCAGGCAACCAGGTACTTCATACCAGCTACTGTTATTAGCGACTCAGGAATTTAGTGAGGCAGGCTACACAGGAGAATTGAATATGGTATG